CCACCTTCCATAAGAGTCATCTCTAGGGGGATGGCCTTGGCCTCCTTGAGATGAACTAGTAATCAGGGACCCCAGGGCATGGATGTGTATCTCTGGTGCACCCACTTGCTCACCCCAGGACTTCATTCCAGATGACCCTGATGAACACGCTGACCAAGGACAAGTATAACTTCAATTGCAATCGCTGGCTGGATGCCAATGAGGACGACAACGAGATCGTTAGGGAAATAACTGCTGAGGGTCCAACAGTACGGAGGATAATGGGCAGTAAGTGCTGACTGGCTCTCCATCCTGGGGGAGGCATTGGAACTCCTACTTAATGTGCCGATGGGGGTCTGGCCCATGAGCTGACTCAGTCCCTGCCTCTGACCCGGGCTCCTGCCCTCTCAGGCCCCTCATGACCTTGATGACACTCACACCACCCTTGAACTTGAACCCCATCCAGCTCCTTCCTCTCCTCACTTCTCCTGGTCTGCCAAGGACTTGTGGATGTGTGGAGGATGGATTTTAGGGACAAACTTTTAAGAAATTGTCCAGGGGAGAGAAAAAGTGGTCCTGAAATTGAGCAGGGACTAGGTAGACTACAGAGGAGAAGATAAATTCAAGAAATATTGTGAAGGTGAAACTGGCAGGACTTGAATGAAAGCTGTGGAGCCACAGTGGTGTGAGAAACGTCCTGCTGAGGAAGTTGGGAGAAACTTTGCTCAGATATTGGCACTAGGTCTTCTATGGGCAGGGATTTGATAAAGAGTGATCACAGTGGGGATGGGATGGGGTGGGAGAGCATTTCTACAGGTCACACATAAAAACATGCTTGTAACATTTAAAACTGTATGAGATGTGGGGCCATCATAGCTGTTTTTGTTTGGTTTTGTCTTTGGTGATACTATTAATGAATATTGCAATGAAAGACAAGAATCTCTAGTGACTAGTATTGGATTGAAGTGCCATAGGCTGGGACCTGGGACCCTTTACCAGAGTGCGTGTACTGACAGCAACAGAATACAGAGAAATTGCATGTGACTGAAGACAGCTGCACGCATGTGCACTCAGGGCAGTCAGGAACAATAAGATACAAAAGATCAAAACCAACTGCCACTTCTGAGACGCTGGGAGCAAAAGCAGGGTCCTGTGTGTGATCCCTGCCCACAGCACCACGAAAGGGGTGGTCAGACTACCTAAACCAGCCCTCTGCCCGACCCACTCCTCCTCCCCCACCCTCACCTGATGTAAGGAACCAGCTTGCCCTCCTTGGAGGGCGAGCAAGGGCACATGTTACTTGCTTTCACTTCCTTTTGCTGCAATAAACCCTTGCCTGAATTTCTCATCCGGCCTCTTGTCAATTTCTATTGATGAAAGAGTCCGAGGACTCAGGCCAGTAACAGAGGGGCTGTCTGTCCGGGCTATGACGGCCGTTCAATGCCTTCTGGGGGCCCTTGGCAGTACTTTGGAGCCCACACCGACTTGAGTTTCTTTTTCCCAACTGTTCTTTCGGGTCCAATAAATTTCTCTTGCTCTTGGAGGACGCTCACGCCCCCACTCACCTCTGCAGGACCTCAGAACTCCTTTTCTGGTCTGGGTGCTTCTTTGTAACAGCAAATAGAGCTGGTGGCAACGTCTCACTTCCCCACTTGGTACCAGGGTATTGTGAATAATGTGTAGGGCTTCCTGGAAATCCTGTAAGTGGAGAGTCATGGACTCATGCAAAATGAGTAAATGCAATTTAAAATCAATTCTCCAAGATTGAACTGTATACTCCTAATTTACCTAAAAAGTAAGGGCGAGTCAAGCAAGCAATTAACACCATATCTGAGAGCCAAGAGGCTTCTGGGAGTGATTGTACTGATCAACGCAGGTCAGGAGTCAGGGACAAAATACTTACTGACCCACAATTTATTTCACCTTGCCTTTCCCTTAGGAGCTATGTGAGATGGTAAAACCAATGAGGTCAGCATTCTCCACTGGTACCCAGTGGAAGTGATGGGCGGGATCCCACTGATAAGCAGGCAAGAGCCCCCTGGACTCAAGGGCTGAAAATCGTAGCTACTTGCTAATCAGGCTGAGCTGTAATTTTAAGATTAAAGTACAAGAATCTCTTATTAGAGGGAAAAAAAATCTCATACTTACCCGTCTGTTTAAAGTCTTTCACTGCTGATGGCCAACAATATAATTATCTCTAATGGTCCACAGTCTTCTTGTCAGGAAGGAGCTTGGAATCTCAATGGCAGGTGGGCCGGGAGGGACCCCTAGAGAGGATTGGACCCCTGATAACTTCCAGCCAAACAGACCTTCAAGCTCCTGAACACAAGGGGCTGGAATCCCCAGGCATAGGGATTTCCGAATTCCCTCATCAGCTTGCTTCTGGGAATGGCCTGACAGTTGCAGCCGAAAAAGCAAAACTGAACTTCATCAGAATTCAGAATGACACGAGGTTGGTGTTCTCTCTTCCCTTCTGTGCACCCACGTTTCAGTACTCACTCCAATTCATGCTATTTGTTCCTCTGACTGTTAACACAGTCCATCACTGGGAGCTTAACACAAAAGCATCAGCTTCAGTGCTGCAAAGGCTAGAAGTTTAAAACATTCAGCTTTTGAATGTTAACAGAGTTGATTGGAGAAGGTAGCAATGGTTGAATTTCAGGCACTGTCCCTTTGAAGAGGCAGTGTTGGGGGCAGGAGGCCTTCCTCCCTTCTTGGCTTCAGTGGCAGCCTCTGCCGGCTCCACTCAGACAAGTCTGTGTATGAGCAGTCATCCTTGACCTTTTCTTCTAACAAGTGGTTTTGCTACAGACACCATCTTCATGGGCCCGTGTATTTAATGATTAAACTTAATTTTCAGATATCTTTATATCTCCAAATAAAAATGAGCATATTACTGAAAATATAATTTGTGCATTGAATTAAACTTACTGGTGATTTGTCTCATTCCTCATGTACTTTATCTTCATTTTAGATGGACCACTGATGGGTAGTGTCCATTTAAAAAATAGCTTTATTCAGGTATAATTCATGTTCCATACAATTCATCTATTTAAAGTGTCGAATTTAGTGATTTAGTGTATTGATGGAGTCATACATCTATGACCATTATCAAATGCCAGAATATTTTCATTGCCCCCCAGAGAAACCCCATACCCACTAACAGTCACACCCGTTCCCCTACCTTACTCCTCATCTCTGTCTTTATCCATCTGTTTAAAACAATGATCTGTTTTTTTGTCGCTATAGATTTGCCTCTTCTGGACATTTCATATAAGTGGAATCATATAATACATGACTTTTTCTGTCTGTTTCTTTCACTTAGCATAGTGCTTTTAAGGTCCATTTACCTTGTAGCACGTATCAGTATTTCATTTCTTTTAATTGCTGAGTAATATTTCATTGTATGGATTTACCACATTCACCTGTTGATGAACATCTGGGTTGTTTCTCCTTTTTGGCTCTTATGAATAATGCGGCTGTGAACATTCATGTACAAGTTTGCATGTGGACATATGTTTTCAACTCTCTTGGATATAAACCTATGAATTGAATTGCTGGTTATATGGTAATTCTGTTTAACTTTATGAGAAACCACCATCGTATTTTTCAAAACAGCTGCACCATTTTGCATCTCCATCAGCAGTGTATGAGAGTTGCAATTTCTCTGCATCCTTGTCAACACTTGTAATTCTTATGATTCTTTTTCAGTATTGTTTGGCTATTCTGGGTCCCTTGAAATTTCTTATGTGTTTTAGAGATAGCTTGTCCGTTTCTACAAAGAAGTCAGCCAGGATTCTGCTAGAGATTGCATTTCATCTGTAGATCAGTTTGGGGAGTATTGCCATGTTAACAATGTTAAGTCTTCCAATCCACGAACATAAAGTACTTTTCCATTTATCTAAATCACCTTTAATTTGTTTTGCAGTTTTTTAGTTTTCAGAGCTTAGTTTTTTTTCACTTTTTAAAAAAAATTATTGAGGTATAATAGACTTACAATTTTATATTTAGTTTCAAGTGTACAACATGATGATTTGATATTTGTATGTATTGCAAAACGGCCACCACAATTAGGCTAGTTAACATCTGTCACCATACAGAGTTACATAATTTTTTTCTTGTGATAAGAAATTTTAAGATCTACACTCTTAGCAATTTTAAAATATGCAGTGTCTGTATTTTTAGCCGTGGTTGTCATGCTGTGCATTACATCCCCATGACTTAATAATTGGTTTCTACTTGTTTTCATAAATTTATTCATGAGTATTTTCTTCTTTGTGATGCTGTTTTGCATGGAAATGTCTTCTCAATTTTATTTTCAGATTGTTTATTGCAAGAATAGAAATACAGTTGATTTTGCTATATTGATCTTTCTTAAAATTAATTCTTTTTATCAAGAGATATCATTAAGAAAGTAAAAAGATAAGCCATACAGTGGGAGAGTATATTTGCTATCCCTTTATCCAGCAAAAGACTTGTATCTAGGGTACACAAAAACCAAAAATCAATCAGAGAAAGGCACAACCTCAGTATTAAAAGGTGCAAAAAACTTGAACAGGTGCTTCACAAAAAATGATTGGGAACCTCTGGTCTGTCTGGGACAAGGGATATTCAGATGAGATGGACCTTGAGTGGTGTGGGACCGCTGGGGAAAGGAGCAAGGTCAGCCCAGACGAGAGCTGGCGGGAGAGGAGGAGGCAGTGCTTTGAAGAGGGGGCAGCAGGGCCAGGGCTGCTGAGAGTGGGGGGCTGTCAGCCAGTGATGTCCCTCTTTCTGCCCGCCAGTGGCACGGTACCGCGTGACTGTGTGCACAGGGGAGGTCGAAGGTGCGGGAACCGATGCCAACGTCTACCTCTGCCTTTTTGGTGACGTGGGGGACACGGGGGAGCGACTGCTTTACAACTGCAGGAATAACACCGACCTGTTTGAGAAGGGCAACGTAAGTTGCGGCAGTGCGCCCCCTCGCCCCCACCCCCACCCCCCACTCCCATTCCCTTGTCTTCCCTGCTCCAGGTAGAAATGACCACAGGTACTGGGGCCTCAGCCATCAGAGAGGTGGGCTCTGGGTGAAGCAACAGGGAACTGACATGCATGGCACTCACCAGGCTCCCAGGACTATCCAGCCGGGAGCTGGAGAGCCACCCTAGCGAGGTCACGGTCCCCTCCCCACCTCGGGCTTTGAGAAGAGAGCAGAGCAGGAGGACCCCTGGGGGTGAGGAGCAGCACCTTTCTTCCCTCGGGGTGAGCAGGCAGGGAAGGAGACTGAGCACCTTACGTGTGGACTGGAGGACGCAGGTTTGCAGAAAGCTGGGACACTGAGGGCCAGCTTGGGAACGTTGCCTTCTCCATCAGACTTGACCACTGGAGGGAACTTGCTTGTTTCCTTTTTGAAAGAGAAACGAGAAAAGACACTAAACATGGAAGTGAGAGAACTGGGTTCTGCTCCTGGCCTCATTCCAAACGTGCTGGGGGTTCCCTTCGGTTTCCCCAACCATCAAATGGGTTTACTGGGGAGGCTGAATGTGGCCAGCCCGATCAGGGCCGATCACTCCATGCCCTGAGCCTCAGTTTCCTTATGTCTAAAATGGGGGAAAGGATGCCTACCTGTGGCTGGCTGTTGTGAGGATTAGAGACGGCCTGTAGCACACAGTAGGCGCTCAGTAAAGAATCATAGTTGCATGATGAACGGCCCAAGGTTGCTCACTGGGGAAGGAGATTTGCAGAATGCTGGCTTACAAGCCTCGGTCCTCTCCTTCCTCCGCCACCCCTTCCCTGGGGAGGGAAGGGTAAGCCCTGGAATGAGAGTGGAGATCTCTCTCCGCCCTTTCTTACCCTTTTCTTTCCACGTTTTCTGACTCCTTCATTCACCAAGCCCACCCTTGTGTTCCTGTCCCCGGAGGGCCCCAGGTTTGCTCACGTAGATTCTGCTGCTTCACTGGTGTGCAAAACTGTAAAATTAACAAGATCACTGGTTCCCCCAAGTCAGTTCTAAACATTCCCCTTCTCAAAAGGAGGTCAGCATCCTGCTGTAGCAAGGAGCTCAAGGAGATTAACCAAGGAGTTAATTCAAGATAAATGGTTAGTGATTGATGACAGCTTAATGTGTTGATCCTCCCCAGGGGATCTGCCTTCTAAAGGGAGATCCTAGGGAATGGCCGTGGTTTAACCAAATAATAACAGGTATCAAGGGAACTTTACATTGAATGATAGTCCGTGGGAGAAACTGGGAGAGGGAGTAAACTGTCCTTCATAGGGAGCCGCTGCCCCACCTGGGAAAGACCAATAGCCCAACCCATCAGCTACAGCTTTTATGATTTCTGGGTCTGTGTCTTTCCTTGGCGTTTGGGTCCCAGGGGAGCCACCATCCAACTGGCTTTTGCTGTCTTATCCCCTTGAAGGCCGACGAGTTCACCATCGAGTCCGTCACCATGCGGAAGGTGAGGCGGGTGAGAATCAGACACGATGGCAAAGGCAGCGGCAGCGGCTGGTTCCTGGAGCGCGTGCTGGTGAGAGAGGAGGGGCAGCCGGAGAGCGACAACGTGGAGTTCCCATGTCTCAGGTACACGAGCCCTGCCTGCTTTTATCTTCTCCAGCTGAGGTTCTGGGCCTTAGTTTTGGGAAGTTTCAGCCTCTCTCCAGGACCAGGGAGCAAAATGGTAGCTTAAGGATGTAGTCGATGCAAGAAAGAAGTGGCCCTGCTGGTGGCATTTAGACCTGGGTCACACATCCCTGCCCCGCCATATACGTACACACAGGTGATGCATCACCAGCACCGGGTGTCCCAGGGTGGTGCTACCATGGCTATTTAGTACCAAAATGTTGATTTTTTTTAATGATAAAATATGACAACTCATATTCAGAATTTAACTGAGAGCTACCTCAGAGGGTTAGTTACATGCTAAATTAAATTTTTAATTAAAGCTGCTTTTTTTCCCCATTTGGATGGCTTTCCACCACATCTTCTCCCTTTTAGTATCTTACTTTGTTTTCATTTCCTTTCCCCAGCTTACTCATAAGGTAAAATTTATTTTCTCTTTTTCCCTAAGCATTTGGATTTCTTTCACAGCCAGTTTGGGCTCTACCAAATATTCCTGACAGTGACGTTTTTAGAATGAGAGGCAACACCAGCATTTTTTTGTGCCATCTAGTTGGCCATTCCCATTCACCTGCAGCCATGAATGGGAGGTGCACACTTAACTTGGGGCTTTGCACCAGCTGGATTCTGCCAATCCCAGGTCCAGGCTGAGCCCTGCACCCGTGGACGAGGTGCAAGCTCACTTCATTCAAGCTGGACCAGGCTTATTGCCTAAAGACAGCCCTCCTCGGAGTGGATGGGGCAGACTGCCCAACAGCCCAGCAGGGAATGAATTGCTCTTTCTCTAATCAGTCTCACAAACACACTCGTGCACACTTGTGTGTGATGCATTTACTGCTGCTAATTTGCTTACCACCCTTCCCATCCAAGTAAGTGCAGTTTCCCAGCCATGGAGGGCCACTGTGTGATCTCATGGGACGATGATTGTGAAATGATTTTGACCATGACCAAGGCATCTACAGTCTCCAAAGTATAGCCACTGTTAGTACCAACAGGATTACATCGAAAAGATAAGTGATGATTCAGGTGGTTCCAAATGAGTGGTATTAACAGACAGAGAGAGGCTCAGAGCAAGGGTTGGGGAGCCATGGAAGGCTTCCAAAAAGAGGTGGAACAGGACCTGAGCTGGGAAGAAAGACCAGAGAGTGGAGGGATGATGAAGAGAAGAGAGGATGCGTCATCCTGGCTGGAGAAGCGGCGTGAGGCATGGGACTGAGGAGGTGGCTCATAGAGGCTGGCGAGGGGTGCCTGGCACATGGGGGAGGAGCAGGGTGAAGGGTGGGGTGGGAGAGTCCTGGTCTGTCCTCAAGTCCACACGGACCCGTTTGCTCCCTGCTGGACCCAGAGGCTGCCTGGCTGGGATGCTGGATGGCACAGCCTGCCTGGTTTTATTCCCACCCACTCAAAAGATATTTCTGAAGCATTTACTATACACATGCTCCCTGTCCTGGGACATTTGGGGTCTAGAGAAGAACTAAACAAGGGTCAAGTGAATACACTAAGAAAGCGACAGTCACCCACTGTGAGGAGTGGGATGTGGGGAATGCACAGTGGTGGCAGAGGCTGCTGGATGCTGCCACACTGAGATGGGTGGGTTTGATGGGGAGAGGGTGGGTGGGGTCTGTCTTCACAGAGGATGCCCAGGCTGACTTTTTGTATAAGGAAAAGGGGAGTGCCAGGGAAAGAGCTTGAGGGATCTAGAACTCCACTGAGATCAAAGCAGGTGGACAAAGGAGAGAGCCGCCAGGTGGGGTCAGAGGTGGACAGAGGCCTGCATCAGGAGGGCTGGGGGGGCTCTGGGGGCATGGAGTGCTTTCATTTTAGAAAGGTCCCTCTGGCTCTGGGCGGAGGACAGGCAGTAAGAGGTCCAGAGGGGAAACAGAGCAGCCAGGGTGTTGTGGGTCCACGACGGTATGTATGAGCTTGCTGCGGCCACTGTCACAGCATACCACAAACTGAGTGGCTGAAACAGCAGAATTTGGCCTCACGCTTCTGGAGGCCAGAAATCTAAACTCCAAGGGTTGGCAGGGCTGTGCTCCCCCGAAGGAGCTCTGAACAGGGTCTGCTCCAAGCCTCTCAGCCTGCGGTGACCACAGGTGTTCCTGGGGTTGGAGATGACCGTCTTCTCCCTGTGTCGTCACATGGCCTTCCCTCTGCAGGTGTCTGTCTGTGTCCAGATCTCTCCCCTTGTTATAAGGACACCAGCCATTTTGGATTAGGGCCCACCTAATGACCTCATTTTAACCGGATTATCTCTATGAGGATTGTTTCCAAATAAAGTCACATTCTGCAGTGCTAGGGTTAAGGCTTCAACAGATCTTTTGAGAGGGGGACACAGTTCAACCTGTAACTGGGCAGCCTGGCCCTAGGTGGCGGCAGTGAAGGGGAGGGGAAGGGCTACACCACTGGTGGATCCTGGAAGTAGAGTTCATAGGACTTGCCACTAAGAGGGAGGAGAATGGGAGGCCCCAGGGCTCTGCCTTGTGTAGGTGGGTGGAGGTCTTGCTCTCCACTGAAGTGGGAAGCCTCGGGAGGAAGGACTGGGGGCGGGGCGGGCATGGGCTGGACTCTGCAGGTCCAGTTGGTGAAGGTTAATTTTGAGATGCTTGTGCATCCAGTAGGCCAAGCCAGGCCTTGAGAAGTACATTCAGGAAACAAGAGCATAGAGGTGGAATGACACACGAACTTATTTACAAAACAGAAACAGACTCACAGACATAGAAAACAAACATGGTTACTGTAGGGGAAGGGAGTGGGAAGGGATAAATTGGGAGTTCAAGATTTGCTTGATACTAACTAATATATATATATATAATAAATAACAGGTTCATACTGTCTAGCACAGGGAACTATATTCAGTATCTTGTAGTAACTTATGGTGAAAAGGAATATGAAAATGAATATATGTATGTTCATGTATGACTGAAGTGCTGTGCTGTACACCAGAAGTTCACACAACACTGTAAACTGACTATACTTCAATTAAAAAATATACATGCAAAGAAAAGTCAGGAAAATGGAGGAGATCCTTTAGGGGGAGTATGGATAAAGAAAATGAGGACCAAGCCCGGAACATGTCAGGAAGAGGAGGAGCAGCCCGAAAAGGGGATGAGGAAGAAGCTGGAGTGTCCACACTGCCTGCACTGCCCGGAGCACAGTGCAGGGACCAGGAACTGGCCGCCCACCTGCTGTGTGACTTTGGGCAAATCTCTCCACTTCACTGGTCTTCCGTGCCTTCCCAACCAGCAAATGTCTTACAGTGATTGTGAGGGTGCAATCGGGTTGCACTGTGAAAGGAGCCAAGTCTGCTAAAGGCACAGGAGATGCTAACGCTGCTGATTGTAGGGCTGACCAGGAGCTGAAGCCCCTGACACACCCCAGAGCCCTCCCTGCCCCCAAACACTTAAGAGGTCACACAGTTTCTAGAAAATGGATTCTTCTGCCTTGCTGAGTTGCGGGTGAGTGCACAAAGCAGACGTATTAATCAGAACTTCTCTGCCAGTATCAGGGAGTGGTGAGCATCTTGGCTGTGGTAGGTGTGTGTCTACCTGCGTATGTATGCGTGTACGTGCGTGTTTTATGTGTGCACACACATGCATACTTGCACATTCTTGTGACCCAGGGGAAGAGCGATAAAATCACCAGCAGACTAGCTCAGCCATTTGGCAACATGTCCCTCTGAAACTGGGCCGAAGTGTTTGAAGCTGCAGGAAAATGGCTATATTTGGAAATGTCTATTAATACCTTGCAAGTATTTGGGTGGCAACTAAAATGACAAGTCATGCTTTCCTTTTTCTGCTGGGGAGGGCCTGGAGGTGGAGAAGTGCTGGGGAGAAAGAAGAGAGCGCAGGTGGGGTTTTGCAGTGGCCGAGGAGGCCACCGATTTTCCGTCTTCCTCACCCCAGTGACTGCGTGGCCAGAGCTGCCTCACAGCCTTCTCCTCCGCAGTCTTCATGCCTGTGGGACGTGCCCCAGTGACCCCAGCACGACAATCAGAGGTTGATTTGAGGGGCTCTAGCCAGCACTCCCTCGCTCCCAGGTCTCTCTCCCAGCCCCTGTCATCAAAGCCAAGAATTCCACAATTGTATCTTCATGTCTTAGAATCCCAAGCCTTTTTCGGTGTTCTCAGTTCACAGCACCAGAGCTCACGGGAAGTGTAACAACTTAGTCGTCGGCTAACATTTTTTTAAATTGAAATATAGTTGATTTACAATATTGTGTTAGTTTCAGGTGCACAGTAAAGTGATTCAGTTATATATATATATATATATTTCAGATTTTTTCCATCATAGGTTATTACAAGATACTGAATACAGTTCTCCGTGTTGTACCGTAGACCCTTGTCGCTAATCTGTTCTATGTGTAGTAGTGAGTGTTAGCTAGCAGCTGGCTGACAGCAAGGTCCTGTGGGCATGTAAGGTCACGTGCTTGGGGAGGGAGGGGGAGAATGCAGGGATGGAGGAGAGTGCAGAGTTGCCTGCATTGACCCTGGGGAGGGGGCAGGATACTGGCAGAGGGGACTGTGGTGTAGGGAGGCCTGAGCTCCAGGCCGGGAAGGCTTCGGGGGGCAGGGCCTTGGCTTCTTTGATAGGTTCTGTGGCCCCGGAATTGCCTCCCTCTTGGGAGTGTAAAAGGAGTGGGCTGCAAAGACAGTCACCAACACAGGCAAATGGGGAGATGCTTTGGTCAAGAGGCAAGTATCTTGGTTTCCCTGTGGCCCTGGAGAACACTGAGGGGCTGTCTTCTGCTGCCATCGCCCCATATCACAGACCATCTTGAGGGCTGGGACCTGGACAACTCGTGCTGGCACGGTTGTCTGATTTCTCAGCCTGGGTCTCTGTGCTCAGTGAGAACTGTGCTTTTCAGGCACACTGGTCCGCTGTCTTTCCCCCTTGTGGATGACCAGCAGAGAGCAGGGGCCATTGTCTACCCCAATGTCCTGATGAGTCACAGCCATCAAATCCCAGCCTTGCAGGGTCCAGGCCCAGCTTCTCTTTGCTGGCAAACCTCCTTCATCCTTGAGGACTCAGAGGAGAGCCCCTTCCCCAGGAGCTTTCTCATGTCTCTAAATTTCTATTGACCTTACCTTGGTGCAACATCCATCCTTGTCTTGGTCTCCGGTGCCTCAGCCAGCCTGCCTTGTCTTCTCAACTAGACCGCAGGTTCTCTAAGGGCTGGGCTGCGTCTTACTGATCAAGAGTGTCTCTCTGCCTTCTCCCCATCCCTGGGCCCTCAGCACAGTGCCACGCACACGGTAGACTCTCAGAAAAAGAGGTGGGGTTTTTGATGATAACGATGACACAGGTGTTCGTGGCTCTTAGAACAACCTGTTTTCCATGATTGCTGAAGTCCCACATCAAGTGACACTGCCCCCACTCCAGCCTCATCTGCCAGCGCTCCAGCGTTCACTTGCTCCATTCCATCCACACTGGCCTTCTGTCCCCATGTGCTGTTCCCTCTGAACGTGCTTCCCCCTCTCCTGGTTAACTCCTTGTCATTCTTCTAGTCTCAGCCAAAAATCACTTCCACAGGGGAGCTCTCCCTCTCCAGTCTTGGTTGGGCTCCCTTATTCTGAACTCTGGTGGAACCACTTTCCTTTGCTGAATTCAAAGCTCTGGCCTCCTGGTGACTGTGTATGACTTGAGTGATGGCTGGTTGATGGGCTGCCCTACTCGAAGAGCTAACACCCTTCGTCTGCCCCCCAGGTGGCTGGACAAGGATAAGGATGATGGGCAGCTGGTCCGAGAGTTGCTGCCCAGTGACAGCAATGCGACATTGAAGAGTAAGTGGTCCTGAGAAATGGGGGCTGGGTGTGCCCTGGGCAGGACGGACGCCCTCCCTCGGCTACTGAGAAGCCAGCCCTTGGAGAACACACACACCCTTCACTGCAATCCATGGAGGCAGCAATGGGGAGGCTGGGGAGGAAGAGGTTCCGAGGGAGGGTCTGGAAATCTCCGTCTGTCTGATCTGCGCACACGGTCTCTTTATGGCCATGTGTGTGCAAGGGGCCCTGAATGCATCTGAGCCTCTGTCAGTGAGCGTAGCAAGAGCAGTGACACCGGCCAGTGTTGCCCAGCGCTGGGGGCACCCATCATTCAGGGCCCTGTGAGGATGAAACCCTCGCCAAAGGGGCTATGCAGTAATTTACAGTCTTCCTTACTGTTGATATTTCTTCCAGTGCCTTGATTATGAAAGTCAGACAAATACTGAAAACACCAGCACCTCATATTTATCACACATTATCTCATGCAAGCTCTGCAGTCCCCCCAGAAGGGAGGCAGAGCCCATCTGTCAGATGGGGACACCGAGCTGGCGCAGCTAAATAGCTTCCTAAGTGCAAACTACAGAGTTGGAACTAGAGAATCCAGTCTCTGAATGCGGAATTACAGAATGTACGAGCTGGGACAGTCCTTAGGAGATGAACCAATGCCTTCACTGGACAAGTGACTCATGCCTGTAGCAAGGGGACCCTGTAGTCCAGCCAGGTCTGCAGCTGGTGATGGAGCCGGGACCAGCGCCCAGGGAGCACTGTCTTCTTGCGTGGCTCTTCCCACTCCAGCCAGCCCTGCTTCCCCACGTGAACGGGGCCCTTCAGGCTCCCTGCTCCCCGAGGCAGAGCTTTAGAAAGGATTTAGATGGAAAGTGGTGTAAGGAAGAGGTCTTTTTCTCAGTTCCTGCTGCATCTTTACAGCAAGAAGGACAAAAGCCACTTCCTCAGTGCCCTCCAGTGTCCCTGGAGTAGCTGATCTGGACCAGACCCACAGCTCTGGCCTCTCCCAGGGCCAGGCCAGTCTGCAGGGCTGCCTCCAAGGAAGGGGCTTTTCCCTGAGTCTTTCTTGCTGGCAGGAAGGCCCCAAGACAGCCGTGACTGGCCGGGCAAGCCTTGGAATTGGCATCACTTGCTTCTCAGTGCTTCCCTCCTCATTCCCAAGACCCAGGCCCTGGAACAAACCCATAGGACTCGGGGTCATGGCTCAGGGTATCCGAGGACTTGCCCTTACCAGGCACTTTTATCCTCCCTGTGGACAGACAACACAGACTTTTCTGGGTAATACGATGGAATAACACCTGCATGGCTTTTGGGTTAAGAAATGGGGCCTTTGGGTGCACATTAGGATTTCGCTCGTGGCTGGCTGCTTCTTAAGTGTTTCCATCTTGTTGCAAATACATCATCTTCTGAGGCTCAGATTCCTCACCTGTTAAACCGAGGTCAGAACGCTCAGCTCTAACACCGTGCACATAACACGCTAAACCCCGCTCTGCAAAGGCTGATGGTCCCTTTGCCTTGGTTTCTTTGTTCATTGGACAAGAAATTGCAAGAGGTGTTTGCTTTAAATCCTAGTATTTGTGTCATGCCTTCCTGTTCCCAGCACATCCGTACCCTGTGGGGCAGGTCAAGCAGGGATCAGAATTTTGATTTTGCAGGTGAGGGGACTCCACAGAGATGGCAGGACCACCCGTCTCCAGTCACAGGGCTCCTGACCCCCAGCCTCCAGCCTAGTGTCCCCACCTAGGGTCCCCGCCCTGGCTGCCCACGTCCTCCTGCCCCACGCCCCCTCCCACTCCCTGCGCTAACCCCCTGCCCTTCCTGCCTCCCGCCTCCGGCTGTTCAGACTTCCGCTATCACATCAGCTTGAAGACGGGAGACGTCCCTGGGGCCAGCACAGATTCCAGAGTCTACATCAAGCTCTATGGGGACAAATCTGACACCATCAAGCAAGTTCTCCTCGTCTCTGACAACAACCTGAAAGACTATTTTGAACGTGGCCGGGTGGACGAGTTCATCCTGGAGACCCTGAACATTGGAACCGTAAGTCTCCTTCCTGGGACCATGTGCCATCAGCTCACCCGTTCCCTGGTGTGTATTTGCGCATGGGTTCACGCACACATACACACACACGTACACATCGGTGAACCTATTTTGCAGGGAAAAAATGCCCACCTGTTTCCCAGCGATGACCTAGAGCAGCAAAAGACATGTGAACAGTGGTCAAGCTTCTAGTATCTCTTTGGGGCTAGAAAGCATATTCTTAGTGGCTGAAGTCCCAACATTTCCTTTACCTCCGTGGCCAGGACCAATGTGCCTGGTTCCCGTACACTGGTGTGCAGGGAAGGAAAAGAGAAGGAAGAAATACAAAGAGGGGTTAAGACACTTCCCAATTCCAAACCGAAGTGTGTCTCAGAGTGACGCCCTGGAAGTCTGTTTCAGTGTGCGCGTCCAGGCCACACTCGAGAGACTCGGCCTCAGAGGGGGGGCCCCGGGGTCTCCCTCCATCATGTCTGGGTCCTTCACCTGGAGAAGCCTGGGTCTGACTGCCTGCACTCAGCTATTGGAAACTTTTCTAGAAATATCTGGGCTGGGCTGCGTGTTACCATCTGACCCTCTCAGGGAGACTGAGACGTGGACCAGCTCCCCTTTCCTGACCCCTCCCCTCCCCTCTTGGTGAGCCTCACCCTGTTTCAGGTGCCCCCTCAAAATACGCTCCAGGGAACAATCCCATGTCAGTTATTTATACCTTGAAGGTAATGAGCTTAGATCAAGATTTTCCTCGATCAAGATGTATCTGCATTTTAAGCTGAATTAAGAATTGTAGAGTGAAAGGCTGTTGCCTTTGCTGAGGATTTCCGGCAGCAGCCGGCAGATAGATGAGCCATCTGAGGGGAGGGGGAGGGCGCGTGGGCCCTCCCTGTGTTTCTGAAACCCCCTCAACAAACAGTGTGGCCAAGAGGTTGGGAGTGTGGGCTCCGGCTGCCGGCGGCCTGGGCCTGACACCCAGTGTTTCCACTTACCTGCCGTGTGTAGATTACTCAGTCTCTGTTTGCCTCAGTTTTCTCATTTGTATCGAAAGGGATCCTAGTGGGATTGTCATTAGCATTAACTACGTTAGTAACACGCACGTGCACGCACTAAGTGTCCAGGAGAACACTCGCTGTCATTGACTGAACAGCTGCTCCGCGTCGGGTGCTAGGTGACATGGAACTGACACAGAGTCCCTGCCATCAAGGAGCTTTCGTCATGTCAGGTAGAAACACCCGTGCCCGTCTCCGCCTGGTCACAGTCCCAGGGCCACAGAAAGACAACAGAGCCCTCCCATATCCCTTGGCACCCAAAAGCTCTCGGGCTGTGTTTGTAAACATAGCTGGTTTCCTTCCGGCAACTCCAAGGATTAGGTACATGCACTCAGCTGTGACGGTGTGTCCATTACCAGCTGCCAAGAGGCACTTAGCGCATGTCAGAGCGAGAGCAGGGCTCACACGGACAACTTTCCAAATCTGGCCTTTGGGCACCAGACTCACAGCTAGCATTCCCCCTCCAAACCATCACAGAGAGTATCTGAGGGGCTGGAAGGGATCTTAAAGGCCACCTGATACTTCCATCTGGTGTTAGATCTGCCTTGCATACAGCCTTTCAAAAAAAATACATCAAAGTAATTTGAACATTAAGAGCTAGGTACGTTTAAGGATGGTAACATGATCACCTATGCACTCATCTATGTTGCCCATAGGCAATGATGCTAAACTGTAAACTAGCGACGCAACTGCAGTGTTACTGGGAAAAAATGCACCTTAGTTCCAAGAGAGGAGGAATTAGACCCAGAAGGGCAGAACCCTAAGAGGTCGTCTGCATATTCTGTCTCCTGTAGGATGGGGATGTCAAGGAAGAAATGCAAAAATATGTAGGACAGTGTATTGTTTAAAACAAAGCAAAGCCAAATCACGAATGCGGCTCTCAGAGGCGGACGGCTGACACTTGAAAGTTTGCCTGTACAGCCGCACTTCTGATGCAGCACACCACCTAACACGCAGAGCATACTGGAGCTTTCAAAGCTCATGTCACCACACCTGTTCCCTCACTTGCTTCTCCCAACTCTCCTGGGAGATGAGTTGGGTTAAAAAGAAGGCAATAGAGGCTCCAGGCAGGAGGAGTGCCCTCCTCCCCCTGTTGGCTGATGGTAGACAGGACTGGGACCCAGTGTCCTCCTGCTGAGCATGCCTCTCCCGAGGAACGAACGAGGAACAGAAGACTGTGTTGAGGAGAGGGAGAGCCATTGGTACTGCTGTCTGGGGAGCAGGGATGGAGGGATGGAGGGATGGAGGTTTGTACCTACCGACTCCTTGCTCACCGATGTCCCACCTTCCAGATCAACCGGCTGGTGATTGGGCATGACAACACGGGCTTGCACGCCAGCTGGTTCCTGGGCAGCGTCCAGATCCGCGTGCCCCGCCAAGGCAAGCAGTACACCTTCCCTGCCAACCGCTGGCTGGACAAGGACCAGGCAGACGGGCGCCTGGAGGTGGAGCTGTACCCCAGCGAGGTCGTGGAGATCCAGAAATGTATGGAGGCCGAGGTGGCTGGGGTGGGACAGTCAGCAATGCTCCCGGTGGGGTGGGTTGGTGGGGAAGGAGGACGGGCTGTGGGCAACTTGGATCCTGTCTCCAAGGGGAAGCTTCCAGCTGCCCCTGGTACATGGCTCTGGAAGGGAGAGGGGGCTCATTTTACAGACGAGGAAACTGAGGACTCAAAGAATGAAACACTATTTTCTGGGATCAAGGCAGCAAATGACTTTATTAAGAAATAAACCTTCTCAGCCCTGTGTACAGAGGAGTTTGGGAAAAAGGCTTCCCCCAGGGCAGACTGGCTGAGGAGATAAGCTGTTTGTTCATTCTCTTATTCAATAAGTGTTTGCTGAATGTTCTTCTGTGCCAGCAGAAGCTCTAGGCTTTGTAGAGGCAACCATGAGCAAAACAGACCAAATCTTTGTCCTCATGGACTTTACATCCCACCAGGGGAGGCAAACAATGAATACATAATATAATGCCAAGTGAGAGCTATGAGGAGAATGAAGTGGGATGGCGATTAGCAACAGCATGGAGGTCAGGGACCTTCTTGGACAGGGTGGTGACATCTCTGAGTGGAGGTGAAGATCAAGGTGATCTGGCCACCATTGCACAGGATGTGAGCATCATAGATTAGGAAGGGGTCAGGAAACAAGAGGTTATTTAGAGGGTTAGAAAGACGGTGGGACCAAAACCTGGCTCAGCGTCCCTCCCCTCCCCTCTGCATGTCTACATCTACCCCGAAAGCAGCCATCTGAGGCTCACTTGTGCCGGAAACTTGCTGAGAAAGGACCCCAGTACAAACCCACCTCTTCCTCTTCCAGAGCTCCCTGTGTCTTTTCATTGTGTGCATTTTCTCTCCCCAACTAACCTGTAAATTCCTCGAGGGCTGGGTCACATTCACACACTTGGCAATGGTACCTGCCATTGTGAAGAATCAACTCTTTCCCGCTCTTTATAAATTAAAACTCGATCTCCATCAGAGTGATACAGAAACTAGTTAACAAGACAAAGATAAAAAAGAAGCAGTTCCTCAGCTACCTCCTGTCTCCAGAGGTAACAACTTTTTAATGACTTTCCCTTTTCCTCTGAAGTGGATCTCCATATTTTCAACAATATGTTTATCAATTTCTTGATTTTTCTGTTATAGACATTAATAGTGACTTCCTATTATGGAAGAGGAGGATTTAGCTTTTCTCACACACACACGTGCACACAGATGCTTCCCCTCCTTCCAGCCTTCAGCAATCAATATTTGATTTGTACAGTATTAACTATTTAAATATCATTCACTCCTGAGATATCTACTTATAATAATTATATTTCATCTTTATACAACTTTTTGGTTTTTTTCTGGAGTTAATAATAGCCTCATTGATTCGTCTGTGTAGTTTTCTATATACCCATCTGTATCTCTAAATACCCATTCGTATCCCCATCTCTATCTTAGTCTGCTAGGGCTACCGTAATAAAATACCATAGAGTAGGTGGCTTAAGTAACAAAAATTTGTTTTCTCCCAGATCTGGAGGCTGGAAGTCCAAGGTGGAGGTGTCAGCAGGCTGGGTTTCTCCTGTGACCTCTCTCCTTGGCTTGGAGACGGTCACCTTCTCACCGTCTCTCACAAGGTCTTTGCTGTGTGCATGTGCACGTCTGTGTCCCAATCTCTTCTTATAAGGACACGGGTCATATTGGATTGGGACCCATCTTGATAGCCTCATTTTAATTTAATCTTCTCTGTAAGGATCCTGTCTTCAAATAGTCACATTCTGAGATACCCAAGCTTAGGGATCCGACATATGAATTCAACCATTGGGGTGGGATGCAGTTCTTTCATAACCCCATCTTATCTCCCTTTCTCCAGTAGAACTAAACTTTCCATATGTTCAAAACCCAACAGGAGTTCTGTTGGTTTCCTCTCCACCTCCTTCTCCCCCAGTCCCTGCCTTAAGGGCAAGTCTGCCCTGCTCTGTAGGCTGCCATGAACCTGTCCTTTTGAGACCTCCTTTGGACCCTCTTTTTGGAAATTCCATTCTCCCCTCTTCTGGAGAGGATCTCCTGTTTCCTGGATTTCATATCTTGCTCTTCTTTGCTTTGCCCCCTCATTTTGGTAGAACACATTATCCACTGGTAGTTTCCTGGGAAAAGGTGCATGGAAGAGGAGTGTAGAGACCCTGAATGCCTTTGATGTCTTTAGTCTACTGTCACCATTGATCCATGATGTGGCTTGTTAGAGAATTTGAGTTAGAACCTCTTTTCCCTTAGAGCTTAGAAGGAATGATTCCACCATCTTCCAGCTCCTAAGGTTGCAGTTAAGAAGCCTGAGGCCATTCTGCTGTCCAACCCTTTGGGGGTTTTCTCTCTAAAAGCCTGGAGGATCCTGCTTTTATCCCTGGCTTTCTGAAATTTCGTGATGTCCTCACTGCCTTTTGTGATTTTAGTCTCATCCATTGTTCTGAGAACTCACAGGCTCCTTCAATCTAGAAGCATTGTTTTTAGTTCTGGGACTTTTTTTTGGTATTATTTCTTTGACAATCTCCAACTCTCTGTCTCCACTGTTTTCTTTAGAACTGAGCTCTTAGTGAATGTCAGACTTCCTCTGGTTCTCTTCCCTTTGTCATTTGCCACTTGTTTTGGGGAAATTTCCTTTTTGTTCTTTAGAGCTGTCCTTGACTTTATCCTTGCTTCAGAATGTTTTATTTCAGCTACTATATGTTCATTTTCAATAGCTGGCTCTTGTTCTCTGAATGCTCAGAGAATTTTGCATAATCCCGACTGCCTATTGTTCTGAGAACCAAGAGAGGGACTGGGTTTGTGGTTCTCCCCATTCAGAATGCCAGCTGTTACTAGTCCACCCTCACTCCCTCCTGAGCCCGGTATCTCTAGTTCAGTGTCTTCAGGCTCTCAGCTAGTCCTCTTGTGTTCAGCCTTCAGTTTCTCACATTGCTTTGGTAATGGGGGATCCCTCATCCTGTTGAAAATAACAGTCTTCACTTGAAAAAGAGCTACAATTTTGTCCACAGCATTGCTGAGAGGGCAAGTCTTATAAGAGTCACTTTGAAAAAATACGGTCCCAGAGTTCTGGGAGACATCTGTTCTCCAGTGGGAAGTGCCCTCTCGTGGTGAATGCTTATAACGCATGTCCACCCTCTAACAGCTGGATAAACACAGACGGTTCAAAACACAGACGGTTCTCCCTGGGTAGCTGTATCTGTCGATTTCATCTGAAAGGTGCATATACTGAGATGAAAACTGTAATTTCAATCCCTTGTCCCCTGCTGAAAATAAGGAAAAAAACAAACACACAGCCTTTTGCTTCTTTCTGCCTTGGGGTGCCTGCCCAGGGGTAGGCACACAACAGAGAGTGCCAGCTTGTGTACTGACTGCTCCTCATGCCTGGTTCCAGAGGATACATGTAGTGGGTAACTGAGCTTTGGAGTCTAATTACTTGGCTTTGCCACTTCCACCCCCTACTCAATTCCTCTAAGCCTCAGTTTGTCAATCTGCAAAATGGAAATGATAGTACTCATTCATGACCTCGGTGGGAGGACTGGATGAGATAATGCCTAAGAAGCACCAGATACAAGGTGCAGGCTCAGGAAATGTTTGCTCTGTAACTGTCATTACTACTGTTCTTATCACTAAATGTCCCATTTCTCCCCTGTGTGCCCACGCAGTGATCCACTATGAGGTCGAGATTTGGACGGGGGATGTGGGCGGCGCAAGCACCACGGCCCGGGTCTATCTGCAGATCTATGGCGAGGAAGGCAAGACAGAAGTGCTCTTCCTCTCCAGCCGCTCGAAAGTTTTTGATCGGGCATCCAAGGACACATTCCAGGTGTGTGTGTGGTGGGGGGCAAGGCAGCAGGGGTGCCAAGATGGGGCTCAGCGATGTCTGAAAATGGAGGGCTGGTTCTCAGCTCTGGCTTCTTATTTGAATCACCTGGGAAGCTTTAAAGACAAAGTGCTGCCTGGTCTACACCTGGATCAGTTGAATCAGAACCTCCGTGGTGGTACATGTCTTCTGGGTGCGTTTCTGAAAGCGCTACCAGTGATACTAATGTGCTGCCAACACTGAGAACCACGGGAGTGGCTGATTCTGGTTTAGCAAAATATGGCGCAAGGTCCATGGATACTCCATCCACTCCGAGCCTTGTGGCCCCAGTTGCTATAGCTCACTCAGCCCAAGGGGAGGGCCATGCCTTGCAGGCAGGATGCTGGGAGGCTCGGGGTCTCCTAGCTGTGTTCTGAGTGCTCTGGCCTCCTCACTTCCCTTTGAGAGATGAGAAAATGAGATAAGAATATGAGCATGTTGTTGGCAGGAGAGGAGGATGCCCTTGGGGGGACATGAATGTTTTCTGTGGGATACGAGTGTGTGTGTACGTGTGTCTGTCTGCAGATACGTGTATGCAGGAAGTATGTTCATGCTGGGTGCTCTGTGAGTGTCTGTGTGCCATAAGCAGTTTGGCCCTCACCAGAGAGTCCTAACCCAGTGCCCCGTAGAGAGGGTCCTGGCTGAGCTGGGCCAGGGTCACAGGTGTATGGAACGCTGCGCTAGGGGAGCCTCATGGAGTCCACCCGCCTCGTTACACTGCTGAGCAGGTGAAGGAACTCTCTGAGCCTTAGCTTCTTCAGCAGTTCAAACCTAGCTTCTTGACACCTGCCTGGCCTGTTGCAAGGTCCCTGGAAGGATCAAAATAGTCAACGTCAGGGAAAGTGCTTGGGTAATTGACCAGTTGTGGAGGTGGAACAGAGCAGAGCATCTTGCAAATGCCAACTGACCACGTGGCTGGACGTGGTGGTGGATGCATTCCCGCCTGGGTAGACAGATGTGGGCAGAGGGGACGGCAAGCAAGCCCCCCTGGAGAGGTTGATTGCAAGGATGCTGTGACCTGGGAAATGCAGGAGAGGAAGTGGAACGGGTTGAGGAAGGGGCTTCCCATACCCGGAGCACATCCCCTATATAGCTGAGAAGAATACATCCCCCTTTCCAGGGTCCTGGGCCCCATTCTGGCTAATAATTGTCTCACAAAGGTGGTTTTGGCTGCATTGTACCTTCATGAACAGGGAGTCAGAACACCTGAGTTTTCATCTAGGTCTGGCCTCCAGGATGGGAAAGTGGACTCCAATCATAGGGACAGCCCCAGGCCTCAGTCTCTCCAGCACACAGGTGAGAGAACTGGTGACACTGGGCTTTGGGGAGTGTCAAACCCCCAGACAAGGGCCCGTCAGCACAGGGAGTTCTAAGAGTGGCCCAAAGGCAGGGACTCCGTGTGAATTGTCCTCTGGGCTCTGCGGGGTCTAGATTTCCCCTTAATGTGAGGCTCAGAACAGAGTGGCAGATCAGAGGTTGAGGACCTGATCCTCTGAAGGAAAGTGAAATCCACTGACACCGCCCTTTGAGGCAGCTGTGCGCTAGGCCCAGTGGGGGAGAAAGGCAAGAAGGAGTGGTCCCTGCCCTCAGGAATTCCCATCTGAGTGGGCAGACACCAGTGCCTGCGAGCAAAGAGGCCATGCAGGCCAGGCCAGGACCCCAGCCCAGCCCTGGGCCCCCTCCCAGTTCTCAGACGCGAGAGGCCTGGGGCAGGGGACGGGCCCAGGGGCCTCTGGGGGTGTGAATGGGACTTTTCTTTCTGAAAAAATAACATTTTTTTTGGCTTACTACAAAAGTTAAATACGATTAATGCTGAAAAAATGTTTGGAAAGAGAACATAGAAAAGCACAAACTGAAAAAAAAGTAATAAGAAAGTTCAGAAATTGAAATGAATAGATTTTGGTTAAAGTAGAGGAGGGGATAATGGCCTTCTGGGGGAGGGAACCGCATGAACAAAGATATGGAAATGAGAAAAATAGGAATGAGTGTGTGTGTGTGTGTGTGTGTGTGTAAAGGATAGGAGGATTGAGACCATCCTGAGCATCACAGGGGTTTAAAAGGGAAGTTTGGGTGGAGGGTGGCGCCAGCCAGAGGTCCTGATGGCTGGCGGAGAAGCCAGGCTGGACGTGCCGGGGAGAAGGGGCCGGGGAGGCTTTGGGCTCAGAGCTCCTGCGCCCCTCCATCCCGCGGCTCCG